ACCCACAAATTTGAAGCCTTCTATTTTGCTAGACTTAAGGGACTATCCAGAGTTCTTATAAAGCATAATCATTCAAAAGGAAGATGGTGCCTCAAGTTTTTCAGTTAGGAGATCACATACAATCCAAATCAAAGCTGATGGCCCTCAGTGGGACTAGAATAACCTGGAGTGGAGAACATAATCCACATCCCACACAGCCTCCGGACCGCTGTCTCTGGCAGCCAGATGATTAATGCGTAGACTGGAAAGATGTTTCATTGACTGCCTTCCAGTCCCATGAGCACAATGCAGTCAATAAATATTTATTGAATGTATTTTCCCAGGGCTTGCAGTACTTGCTCAGTTGATAACTTATAACCAAATAAGCAAGAATTGCTCAGGGTGGTTACCAATAAATATATAAATGCATGTTAATGGGATCCAAGATGGAATGAATAGGCAGCAGGGAAGAACACGCAGCCATCTGTGGACAAGTTATACAAAAGGTACTAGCTTTTGAGCAACTACAGAAGAAACACATTACACTAAACCAGACGGGAGGACTGCATGAGAGAGAAAGAAGAAAAGGAAAATGTGGGGAAAGGCAAGAGGGAGGTTTAGAAATTTTGAACAAAGAAAAATAAATACATTTTTAAAAGCAAATCATTTTTGTTCTCTCTGGCTTATGTTGGCAATGCCTTCATCTGTCACTGAAATGGCTACTACACTCAAGTAACAGCAGAGAGTTAACGGCAATGGGTTGCCAAATTGCAACTTTTGCAATAAAGATAAAATATAGTTTTCTGCCACTCATTTGGAGCTACAACACCAATATGCTGACGCAACCTCCCTTAAGTCCAAGTCACATTAGATTCTGAGTGTTGTACTGCCAATGTGAGCGTGGGGATGAGTAGTAGGGTGTGTCTATTTAAGATTAAGCATTTATCTGGAGTTAAACACAATTAAAATCTTGCACTTGAGATAATATTAAAAGTGAGCAACGTGACTGCGACGTTGTCTCCTGCCTGTGCTCTGCAAACTCCCACAAAGCCTGAGAATGCACAGTCTCAGTGACAGCAGGAACCTGGGTGATGCTGCAGCTGAGAAACGTGTCTTAATGGCATTGTGGCCAGCTTTGTAGGCAAAGATCTCACTTGTGAGAAATGACCTCATCAACCATCTGACAATTTTAATCAAAACTTCAAAAAGATCCTCGCGTTGACCAGATAGACCCAGCTCTTCACTAAGTTGGGAAGACAACAGTGAGTGGTTGCACAAGTCCACCTCTGTTGGCTCTGATTCTGCAATAGCCCCAACCATTACCACTCCATGACTGAACAGGAAGCCAAGGCTTCTTTTCTGTGAGGAAACAAGGAAGAAGCAGGTCCCAGAGGGAAATTAAGACTTAGGGTTCTTTTCAGGAGACCACTCTGGGAATGGAAGGTCACCAAGTCTATGGATTACAGGGCCTCCCTTGGAAGTAACTGTGTCCCCTTTGGGTAACCTAAATAAGACAGACAATGCTTGACCGAGAGAATTTTGCTAGCTGTGTTAGCCCTCTTTATGCATATGTAAGGACAGCAGTTGAGTGCCGACTCTACAGTTATTAACTCAGTCAGAGAAATTTGGCCAAATCATTTTTTCCAAGTTTCTTCCCAATTCTGCTCTTTCTCACCCACTTTCAAAAAGAAGCAAAATGGGGCCTTCTTGGTGGCACAAGGGATTAAAGTGTAGAACTATGAAGCTATCTGCAGCTACTGCAGCACAAGTTCTATCCCCAGCTGGGGAGATGACCCACATGGTGCAGCAGACCTCTCCTGTCTTGACCACTGTTCCCCTCAGCAGCGTATTTCAGTCAGTCTGAATGTTCTGTTCCCTACTGTTTCTGGTGAATCCTCTCATCCCCCACACCTCTGGCCTGTATCCCAGTTCTTGTATGCATAAATAAAATCAATCTTTAAAAAAAAAAAAAGAGGCACAAAGAAAAGATCTTGAGGGTTATGATCACTTCTGATCACATATGTAAAGACTGACCTGAGGCATCCTAATCTCCAGCCTGTATACACTGAATACCTCAGTGACACCGCTTGTAGAGACCAGAGAAGGAAAGTCTATGTCCCTATAACAAATAGGTATTTTAAAATTTTAGGATGATAAAAGGATGCTCAGCAAGCCTTTGTGAAAACTGAACCATCAAACTTCCAGGAAAGGATGTCAGAACCAGTCAGAAGATGGAGAGAGTAGAAAGATGCAGAGTATTTTCTGCCCTTCCAGGCAGATGCTGAGTTGACTCACCCCAGAGCCAGCTAAACATGCTTCTTTAAGAACCGCCTGTCATATGCAGATGGCCAACAGACATATGAAAAAATGTTCAACATCACTCGTAATAAGGGAGATGCAAATTAAAACCACAATGAGATACCACCTCACCCTAGTGAGAATGGCACATCTTCAAACAAATAGCAACAACAAATGTTGGTGAGGATGTGGAGAAAAAGGAACTCTCCTGCACTGCTGGTGGGAATGCAAACTAGTACAAACACTATGGAAGACTGTTTGGAGGTTCCTCAAACTGCTAAACATGGAGCTTCCCTATGACCCAGCAATCCCACTCCTAGGTATCTACCCAAAAGACACAAAAACACTGATTGAAAAAGATACTTGTACCCCCATGTTTATTGCTGCTTTATTTACAATTGGAAAAACATGGAAGCAGCCCAAATGCCCAAAAGTAGATGACTGGATAAAAAAGATGTGGTACATATATACAATGGAATATTACACCGCAACCAAAAAAAGAGAAACACATGTCTTTGGCAGCAACTTGGATGGAGCTGGAAAAGATCATGCTTAGTGAGATAAACCAGAAAGAGAAAGAAAAATACCGGATGGCTTCACTCATAGCAGGAGTATAATGGACCAGGCGAGAAAATAACAAAAATAATGAACAACCATATACCAGAGACATTTTGTGGGGGTGGAGTGGGGAATGGGATCAAAAACGGGGTAGGGGGGAAGGGAGGGAAATACACGGGACTATGGTGGTGGCACACGGGTGATTTGGTGATGGGAAACCCACAGGGATTACAATCGAGATGGGAAAAAATGTGCAAAATGATGTAAAAATAAACTTTTGTAATAAATAAAAAAAAAAAAGAACAGCCTGTCATGATCCACCTGCCATTTCAAGACTTGATTACCCCTGCAGCCTCCCTATGGTTATAAGGTATTTACCAAATTATCATTTGAGGTGACATATCCCATCGTCATGTTTTATGGTGGCGTATTTATGCACCTTTTCTCCCTGGAGAAATTAGAAGCTGGTAACCCCGACAGAAACACTGTGTTCTGCATGCAGCAGCTGCCCAGTGCAAATCTGTTGAGCACATACTAAAAGAAACTGTTTTACTTATAACCCTAGCTCCAGTTCTGACCTAGAGCCCAAAGGGTGTAGAAAAAGAATTATGTGGAATTATGTGAAGCCAGCTCACAGCTGTGCTATTTGTCTGCTCATGTTGAAGTCTCTATTGACCAACTGCTCCCCGGGAAGCCAGAAATACCTGCATAACAGAAAAACAAATGTGTGATTCTGAGTCTCTGTGTGATAATATGTAAACCCCAAGGGCAATACAAGACATAATTCCTTCTCTGAAAAGAAGCATGCATATTTAAGAGATGGATCCATAGACTTCACTAGAAAAATACACAAAGGGAGACAGATGCCTTTTAAAATGAAGCCCACAGAATTGATGTGGTTACAACAGATATGAAATGCTGATTAGAGTATTTATTATTCCTAAAAACTCTGCTGTGTCTCGGAGCCTGTGCACAAATTTAAGCATGTGGACACACCCATTCCATGAGCCATTCTGAGAGTGAGGGAGGCTCTGGCCCAGAAGTGGCTTCCACTTTGCTCCCCACTTTCTGCAAGGAGGTTTTATCCACCCTGGGCTTCCATGTGCTGAGGTGTGTCTGTCTCAACAGGTGGAGACCTTCTTTCTCCTACACAATAGATGCTGTAACTGCACACTGACCCCTGGATGTTCAAAGAACTGATGCCAGTTTCTCCAGAAGTTGTTCTTTGAAGACTTTTGGACTCTGTTTTCTCAAATGTAGGCATTTATTTCCCTTCAAAGTGCACCGGTACTTATAGGATGAGGAGCTTTTAAATTGCCACATAACAGTTATCTTAAAACCTGCACACTTCAGGCCCTCCCTGGTGGCGCAGCAGGTTTAAAGCACAGCACTGAGAAGCTAACGCTACTTCAGCATGAGTTCAATCCCTGTCGGCTCCGGAGGCGACCACACGGCACGGCAGACCTCTCCTGACCTGCCTGCTGCTCCCCTCAGCAGTGTACTTCATCAATGGCCTGTTCTGTTCCCCACTCTGTCTCTGTGTGAAGCCTCTCACAGCCCCTGCATCTCTGGCCTGTACCCCAGTTCTGTATGCACAAATAAATCTTTAAAAAAAAAAAAAACCTGCTACTTCAATCTCTATTATCACTTAACCCAAACAGGATAAAGAAGTCTGTATGTTGAGTATGTTTATAATATATTGTTCTTATTTTTATGACTTCACTAAAAGCCACTGACCTACACTTGGGCATCATGGCTCTAGCATGAGCTTCTCAGTTATGAAAATTTCTCTCCTGGCATGTTGCCTGATGGCTTCTGATATACTGGAAAATCTGGATAACTTTTCTTATGGATTTTAGCATTTTATGTCATCAGACACAAAAGCTTAAGGCAACTAAGAAAAAAGGATCAGAAAAAAAGCTATATCAAAGGGTTTCCTGAAATTTTCCTTTTCTTTTTTAAAATGTATTAATGAATTTCTTTTTGAGGTAATACTGGCTTACATGATTGTTGGTATTTTGGAAGTGTAGGAATCTCACCCCTGCCCACCTATCACCACTCTTGGGCACCCACTAACCAAATCATCCATAGTTTCCAGGGAACATCAATGATAATGCAGGTTTTGGTGAACAAGTTGGAACTCTGTCCTTTCTTTCCTGTCCCAGGTACATGGCCATCATCCATCCCCTCCAGCCCCGGCTGTCAGCCATGGCCACCAAGGTGGTCATCTGTGTCATCTGGGTTCTGGCACTCCTGCTGGCCTTCCCCCAGGGCTATTACTCAACCACGGAGACCCTGCCCAATCGAGTGGTGTGCTTGATCAAGTGGCCAGAATATCCCAACAAGATTTATGAAAAAGTGTGAGTACAGATGGCTCCCTGGTGCCATTTTTGCCTTCCTTGTTCCTTCCTTCTTTCCCCATTGTTTTGTCAGTAAAAATTTAACATGTACAGTTATGAGTCACTTAATGACAGCAACATGCTCTGAGAAATGTGTTGTAAGGCAATTTGGTCCTTGTGCAAAGTTCAGAGCATAAATACACAAACCCAGCTAGTACACAGCCCATTACACACCTAGCTGTATGGGTTTCACCTGTCAGGACCAGCATCATATATATCTATGGGTGACTGCCTCTGTAAACATTTTTCACACCTACTAATATCATGTTGATAGGTTCATAGTATCATTATGACCCAATAATAATAATAATCTGGGTTTTGAATGAGAAATTTTTAAAAAGGAAGACCCAGATCTTATGACAGTGACCATTTTGGTGCCTTTTCAGATCTCTCAAACTTTTACTAGAGACTTTCTCCTGCCAATGACTGAATTGTTTTGTCGAGAAATATTCCCCTAAGCTACAGAATGCCACCTCTTACATGGCATGCTGCAGGTGGAGGAACTCCCCCCTGGCTCCCAGCTCTCGATGACTGATGGGAGTGGGCATATGGACATTCCAGCTCCCTCTCCTTTGGGTGGGCTGTCTCTGAGGAGTCCAGAGTTTCCTCTTGGCATTAAGCTCCTGGAGCTTGATTAAGCTGGCTCCATGCCACCCCTTTGTTGGCCACTTTCCCTTCTCTGTGCCACCCCAGCGCTCCCTACTGGTGTTTCTTTCTTCTTAAATCTTTATCTCATCTGTCACCAGGGTAAACCAAACCAAGACACCTTCCTCCAGGATTTTACAGTTGGAGAAATAAGACATACTCATGTACAATGCAGGGGAAGGCTGTATCAGTGTGTTGAGGTCTTATAGTTACAGATTCCCCCAAGGCAAGCCTAATTACATGCCTGGGATCTGGCTGATCACATTCAGAGTTTTCCAAAGCTATCTTGGCAATATTTCCGAGATGTTTTATCCTAGAGGCAAAACTGAAATAGCTCATTGGTTGTTTTGTTCTGCTCAAGTGAGCCAGGACATGGCATTTATATCACCATCAGATTTCTGGACTCAGAACCCATTGCTAATATGGGCCCTTCTCAAAGTCCCCTATAATTCGCTAATCTGGGGCTAGGTGAATTGTGAAAGAATGCTGGTGTTAAAAGATCTAGCTTTTAATTATAAAATTGCAAGTTATAAGCAATTTGACTCTGGACAAGGATCACAGTCTTATTAACAGAAGATAATACAGCACTGCTTTCCATAAATAGTGAAGCACAAACAAAATAATACATTGCCACATTGTACCTATGAAATGCCATGCAAGAGGTCAGATATTGTTATTGAACGAAATTCACCAGAAAACAGCATATAGGTCTTTAAATTCATTATTGTAAAAGGAGATGCTACAATTGTCAGCCCCTGAGGCATGAGGGTCCAAAGCCTGTTTCATGCTGAGCCTGCTGCATCTGTCCTGTGGAGCATGGAGATGTAACCTGTCAGGAAGCAATATATAAAGCTCAGACTTTGCCCTCCAGATGCAGACAGTGGGATTTAATCGATCAAGTAGTGGGGGGATTAATGCTCAGCCTAGAAAGAGACTTTGAAAATAGTTCTTTGAAATGAAACTACAAGCCTGTAAAGGGTCTCAGAGGGGAAAGAACATAACTTCACAAGCCGTACAGGACCCATGAACATGTTCAAGCCAGAGGATTTTTCAAAAGAGGGGAAAAAAACCTCTTTGAATTCAGGCTCATTATATTAAACTGCTTCAGAATCTACCTTTGACTCATGCACTGGAGTTCAGTTCTGAGTTCTCAAGATCTTTTTAAACTCTGGTCACCTTTCTAGAACTTCTACTTCAAATATTCGCAGATCCTTTATCTTCTGACAAATTCAGAGTCTAACTTGTAAATAAAGTTTTATTTTCCATAGATCTCTAGGGATTTGTCCAAGAAACCATGCTGTTTAGAGTTTTATTTTTTAACATTTTGGTGTTTTATGGTTATGAATAACTTGAAATTCCCTTTGAAACTCAACCTGATACACCGGAATGTCTTATTTCTTTGCTTTGAGAATTTAGAGTAGCTGCTCCTGGAGACATGGTGAGGTGTGCCATCATTGTTTATTTCATGATTTTAACCTAAAAATGAGTCGGGATCAGAGCATGTAAATATCAATTCAAAATCTATAAAATGTTTCTCATAAATCATCATGATATATTTTAAGGAAATTTGAATTTTACCACCTTTTAAACTAACTACTTGATTATATTCTCTTCTGTTAGGACTGATTACCACTTCCACAGTACATAATTCCAAATTTGAAACCATGGAAATTGTCTTGAGACGTGTAGTACCTAGGATAAGGGCCTGGACTCCAAAGTTAGATGAGAGATCAAGTCTTGAGCACATCACTGTCCAGTAGAATCATAAAGGGTGCGTTGTTCAAGACTCTAAGCCTTATAATACATTCCACATGGAGGTGTGGAGAGAAGTAAATGAGATTGTAGCTAGCTCAGTGCCATGCACATGATTACAGGCTGGTGAATCTTAACAACTGTGGTTAGCAGCACTCATTGATCTGAGTGCAAGAGCTGATGACTGGCAGCAGACAGTGTTTTGGGCAGATGCTTAAGCCCAATTTGTGTGATGAATAATTTGTGCTAGTTAATTACATTAAAAGGTTTTGTGAAAAAAACTTAAATTGCTGCATTTGCCTTCTAGCTGCATGGTAAACCTCCCACCCTGATCATTCATCATCCAGACTCTGTTAATACATGAATTAAATTAAGCACCATTAAAGAAAGGCATTCCAATAAAAGAACAGGCAAAAGTTTTAGACAGGCATTTCACAAAAGGAATCAGTTAATATATGAGGAGACACACAGCTTCATTCATCACCAGTGAAAAGCCAATTAAAACTGTAATGAGATCTTACTACACATCCACCAGACTAGCAAATGTTAAGAAGTCTGACAAAACTAAATATTTATAACTTTTAGTGAAGATATGAAAGAACAAAGACCTGTTATAGACTGCTAAAAGTATGCATTGATAAAACCACACTAGACAATATTTTATAGTAACTAGATAAGGAGCTATTCATACCTTATATTGCAGTCCATAGTCTAGCACCACAAAGCTACAGGCAAAGCTATTCAACCTGGAGTAACTATCCTAGAAAATCTCATGTCTGAGATGTATTTATTCAAATGATCCATAATATTCACATCAGCATTGTTCTTACTTGAAATTGACTTGAGATACTGAGTATCTCTCAAAATGGAGACTGAAGATACTTATTGTCCATCATCTGTAACACATAAAAAGTTGTGGTACCAACTTGTCCTGGGAGTCCCAAATGTACCTCTGCAATATGGATGTGCCTACTAAGGAAGTGTTATCGGACTGTGGTGCAGGACCATGGATACCTCAGTGGTGGGGGTGCTGATGTACACAGACACATAGGCATGAGTCTATACCTCTGAGTCATATAGATTGTATGTAAATCAATGTTACCTTGATAAAAAAAATCATAAAAATGTAAAAGTAGATAAAACAAGCAAAATGGGGCCCTCCCTGATGATGCAGCAGGTTAAAGCACAGCACTAAGAAGCTAAAGCCACTTCAGCATAAGTTCGATCCCTGCCCACCCCAGAGGTGATCCACATGGCATGGCAGATCTCTCCTGACCCTCCCGCTGCTCCCCTCAGCAGTGGACTTTGTCAGTCAGCCTGTTCTGTTCCCCACTCAGTCTCTGGTGAATCCTCTCACTGCCCCTGTACCTCTGGCCTGTACCCCAGTTCTGTATGCATAAATAAATCTTAAAAAAAATGAAAATACATGAACTACTTAGGAATACATAACTAGGAAAACAAACGTAGGTAATAAAGCTATAAAAGCAAGCAAGAAAGTAGTCACCATGGAAGTGAAGATCATGGTCATCTCTCATGGGAGGGAAAATAGTGTGATTATTAGGGAATTATAGAGGACTCTGAAAAGAACCTGTCTAAGAGAAGGGACACAATCAGCCTTGTGGATAATAGCAAGTAACGAGGGAAACTTATATATACTTCTGAAGAGAATGACAGTATTTTATTGTTTTAACCTCAGTTGCAGTATAAACATTTTCTTACGATACCAGGTAATTTGATTTATGCAGTTCTGGAATATTCCAAATTTTAGTTTAAAATTAAATAATATTCAAAGGTTTTTGTTTTTACAACTCCAAGAAACTGTTTTCATTGGCATAACCCCAAAACTTCCTCCATAAGAGGTTATCTTCTGAGGTATGCAGCTTTGCCCAGGTGACATTATTCTACTTAAGTCTGAATGAGCCAAAGTATGAATGTATCCTACACCATTCTGATGTTTACTTAACCTCTCACATTTTACCTTGTGGACTTCTATGTATCAGCCCACCTGGTATTATCCTAGTGATGTAAGGGAGGATAGGGACAAAGGATGTGACAAATGTTAACTAGAGAATAGGAGGGTATTCTCCAAAGGCTTCTCTCCTTATTGTTGTAGTCATAAGTATGTATGTCTGGGCTACAATGTGCTGCAAAAATACTTAGCTTTATCATCCTGAAAAGTATCTAAGACTTTATTTTGCATTTAAAAATATGAACATATTATGAATATAGTGAAATTCCTATAATTACTTTAACCACCAATATTTTTTTAAAATCTTCAAAGTGGGAATCAGCAATGATATGGTCTCACCTATTTTTTTCCCTTTCTGCTTCAGGATAGTCCTTTTACCCTCACCTAGATGGTTACTTTATTCCATAACCTCATTCAATGCTCTTAGAAAATCCAGAGCTGTCTTTGGGAGTGATTAAGGATGTCTCTCCCTGACTATCCAACAGGGGCAAAAGTCATCCATTAATTCAGGAGGGTTAGCAAACTAAGGCTCAGCTGTCAAATATAGTCCCATGTCTAACATTTTGATGAATATCCTGCCATTCTTCAATTTCAT